TCTTAAAAAAGGGTTAGGAAACTGTATGCCAGAGAAACCCAAAAAAGAAATTTACCCAAAACAAGAATATCATCTGTTGCTCAGCATTCTCCTCGATGCACAAGGTGACTAGATGAAGATAGTAATGCCTACAGCTTGGCTGGTGGCCCCTGGAGACAGACTCATAAAGGACTTGCTCATTGTTTATTCATCTCCTATTCTGTTCATTGCTTTTGACTGCAGGCAGTGTTTTGGTGATGGGCTCCACTGGGCTGGTTGCATGATCATCGTGCTTCTTGGGCAGCAGCGACGCTTTGCTGTGCTGGATTTCTGCTACCATCTACTCAAAGTCCAGAAACATGATGGCAAAGATGAGATTATCAAAAATGTGGTATGTGGACAAGGCTCTTCCACCATATGTGTCTCTATTTATTAAAAGTTGTTTGGGGGAAAATGTTTCTTTCATCTTAGTATGAAATGTTCTATCAACCGAAACTTTCTTTGCATTCCAAAAGTGAATCTAAACATATAATTGGCAAGTAGAGCAGCCTGACAGATTAAGAATTAACTTCCATTTTCTTTCTCTTTTCAAGGTGCTTAGATCTACTTCATATTTTACCTTGTAGGATCTGCATGTTCAGATTTTTGGCATACAATTTCAATCTTCTGGCTTCCTTCAAAGAATGCTTTCTTGGATGCTTTTAGATCTTTTGGTCTTTGTGTTTTATTGACTCCTTGTAGTTGCATTCTAGAAAATACTCCACTATTATCATTTCAAATATTTTAGCCCTTCTTCCATTTGCTCTTGTTCTCTTCTTTTGGAACTTTAGTTAAACATGTTAAACTTTCTTTATTCATTCCATTCCCCCGTCCTTTATCCTGTGGCATTTGTTTTCTCTTGCTCCCTCCCATGACCAGACACCACAGGTATAGTGGTATAACTACCACTGATTATCGCAGTCCTCTAGATCAGCATGGCTCAGCTGGGTCCCCTACTTAAGAGTCTTGTAAGTCAAAACGAATTTGTCAGTGGTGCTGTGCTCCCCTTGGAATCTCTGTCCATTTATGTGGTTGGCCCAGTTCAGTTCCTCACACTTGTGGGACTGAGGTCCCCATTTCCTACTGGCTGTCAGCTCCACATTCCCTCTCATGTTTTCCATATGGTACTTTCCAACAGCAGTGGGCTGAGCCATCTCTGCTTCTAATCATCTTCCAGTGTTCCTTGTCATGACCTTCTTCCCCATAGCTAGAAAAGGTTCTCTGCTTTCATGGCTGTCCACTTGGGCAACAGTATACTTGCTGTTGAAGTTCATATCCTTAGCCACATTTGCAAAGGTAATACACAGGTGCCAGGGATTGGGTGTGGACATCCTTGAAGGGCTATTCTAGTTCTCACACCTCCATTTCCTTGGTTCTCTATGCTGTATCCAGAGTACTTTCTTCAGATACATCTTTCAGGTAATTAATTCATTTCAGCTTTGTCTAATCGGAAGGTCTTGGGGGTTGGTGTATCTAAAATTGTTTCCTTGTGTGCTTGGTTATTTGCAAGCTCTTTATCTGATTTTCATCCCAAGAATTGCATTTGCTTCTGCTCATTGCCAGTGGCCATTGCCAACCTGGGACCACTTTAGTCTAATTAAAGGGTTCTATAGTGGTGGGGTCTCTAGGTATAGTACAGCTTGCTCATAGCCGAGTCTATTCTCCCACCTCAGTGTCATTGGTATGTGTCCCAGAAGCAGCCCTGGCCTCTGCTTTGCCTCCTTATGGGAAGAACCAGCAATGCTTTTAAAATTAAGTGTTTTGGGGCTGCTGAGGTTGTAGCTCAATGGTAGAGTGCTTGCCTAGCATGTGTGAGGTGCTGGGTTCAATCCTCAGCATCACATAAAATATATATATTTTTTACACAATGAAGTCATTAAAAAAATGTCTGTTTTTATTCTTTAGTGGGAGGGCTATCAAAGGTTCCTATCCACAATATTAACTAACTGCAAGTCTAGAACTTGTTTTATTAGTTTTTCCCCTGAACATATTGTTTTTCTCCTTTTATTCCCAGCTCTTAGTACACAGGTTCTTTTTTTTTTTTTTTTTTTTTTTTTAATTTTTTAGTTGTCAGTGGACCTTTACTTTATTTTTATGTGGTGCTGAGGATCAAACCCAGTGCCTCACACATGCTAGGCAAGCACACTGTGCCACAACCCCATCCCAGTACACAGGCGCTTTAAAAATATATATATATATATATATAAATTTTTTAGTTGTAGTTGGACACAATACCTTTATTTATTTTTATGTGGTGCTGAGGATCAAACCCAGTGCCTTGCATATGCTAGGCGAGCACTGTACCACTGAGCCACAATCTCAGCCCAGTACACAGGTTCTTATATGCCTGTGAGTTGTGCAAACCTTACATTTAGCAACATGAAACCTATGGATGAATGCATTTGAATTTAAAATATGTTCATTAATAGTGGCATTTAAAAGATGGTATGTCAATAATAGTCTGCTGTAATTTGGCAGAAAATATGAAAATGCTGTGATTTTGAAAAATGATGCCGAACTGTACAAATGTTGATAGTGAAACGCCCTGATCTTAATTATTATAATTATAGCCTTTGAAGAAGATGGTGGAGAGGATTCGAAAGTTCCAGATTCTCAATGATGAGATCATCACTATCCTGGACAAGTACTTGAAGTCAGGTGATGGGGAGAGCACACCTGTGGAACATGTGCGCTGCTTTCAGCCACCCATCCACCAGTCTCTGGCCAGCAGCTAAGGGCTCAGGACTGTGCCCATGGCATTTATTAACTCTAATGGCATGTTCTTTCTGTAAACTGTTTAGTGAGATTTTTAGGGAATATTTTTCAGTATCTCTGTACCTGTTCAAGGGGGTGCTTTTCAATCTAAAATTTTAATTTTATAATATGGACTTATTTTTCTAGACTAAAATTATATGTTTTTGGAAATTAGGAAGTCTGAAAATACTGGCTGCCAATTGTTGCCATCATGTTCCTAAAAATTTGTTTGCAGTTTTCCTCTGAAATGTTCCAGTAGCCACCTGTCAGAATGCTGCTGAGTTCCTTCACTTACCCCTTAAGAAATGTAATACCAGCTAACTGTATTAAAACCAATGCCAATTACCACTAAACTTTGTTTCACATTTGTTTAGGGATTTTTCTGATGGTCTTTTATGAAGAATTTTTTCTAAGTCATTGTCCCTATCCCTCTTGTGTCAGTGTTTCAGACAGTGAATTTGATTCCTCTGCTTCTGCTAAATCCAATTGTGACAAATTAATTTGTGAGATATGACTTAAAGGTTAGAGAAATAAAACTAATGAAACCCAATTGTGTTACTACAACCTGTCCTTGTTCTGTCTCTTATACGCAAGTTCACAGATGGGGTTCAGATTGAAGTTTGGGTCACTTTCAGCATTTTGAGGTGGGACATGATCAAAATGCTACTCTTCTGATCAGCACACAAATTTGCTTCATATTTAGGTTTTGGCAGGGATGAAATGAAAGCCAAGCCAGTAAGATATAAGACAACAGCTGTGTTGGCTGCTTCATTCTGGACATGAAGAAAGGACATGTATCGCCTGTATGTCATGTTATCCTATGACCTGGAACATAGAAGGACTGAGAAGACCTTAAATCCTGTCCCTAACCACTTTAACTGTTATTCCCAACAGCTGGGTGAACTGCCTCATATAGATGGAGTTGGTCCTGTAGTTAGTGATCTTTCAAATGAAAGTTTTGATCAGAATCTTACCTACTACTAGAATTATAGAAATAGATAAAAATGGTTGAGAACTGGATACAGTGGGACATATCTGTAGTCCCAGCTACTCAGGAGGCTCAGGTGGAACCACTTGATTGTAGGAGTTCAAGGCCGGCCTGGGCAACAATAGTAAGACCCTGTTTCAAAAAATTTGCATTATGGGGCTAGGAAAAATCCAAATCTAGGAGCTTCAAGTTTCAGCTGGGTTTCAATCCTCACACCACAAATATATTACATGGAAGGTTGCAGTCAAGAATTTCTAACAGCTCCTTAGAACATCAATAATAAAAGAAAGCTGGAAAAAGGACATTTCACAAAATTGGAGACTGTCAACTCTACCCTGATGAGGTCAACAAAAGCGGCATGGCATGACAGCACAGTCTCCACATAAGACTGCAGGACTGAGTGGTGCCTCACCACGACTAGCCAATGTGTAACTTCAGACAGAAGCTTCTGCTCTTCCTGCCACAAGTGAGGACTGGGAGAACACTCAGAAGAATGGAACTGTCAATGCTTTTTTTTTTTTAAAAAAAGGCCAATGACTTGAATGAATAGAGGTTCTAGGGCTGGATGGAGTTCATTATACTTTCCTATATATTTTTGCATGTGTTTGAAATTCTCCATAACCATTTCCTTAAACAATCAAAACATTTAATGATCCAAGTAAACCCTTAAGCAAAGCAAAATACTTGGTATAAAGACTGTATTTTACAAATATTTCAAGTCTGTTCCAAGCATTTGGACTTAGAACTTTGTTTCAACTTGTCTCTTTATTATGAGCTAAATTTAAGAAATCACTCTTTTTCTTCTGATTTTATTTCCCACTTATTAAAAGGTCTAAATAACAATTAACTTATTATGAAAATAGACTGAAAAGTACAAGAGCTGATATAAAATGGTCACAAAGGTTCCCATGGAATTCAAGTAACGGAAGAATAAATCCAGCCAAGGTACAAAGCAGAGCCCAGCCCAATGGATGCACGATGTGCTGGTTTAATAGGGTTCTAAGAATACCATCAAATGCACACAGTAAACCACATGTGTGGTGACAAGTCATAGCCTAAGAAATATTTCCTTGGCATGATTCCTACTA